CCTACATAAAAAAACAGGAAGCGATCTCCCAAGCCCGCTTCCGGCAGCGACACCCACTTCCGGCCTGCCGTGACGACACTTCCGCGCGAGGCGTGCGCGTGGTGACGACAGTTGCGCTTGGCGGAGGCCAGCGGTCGGTAGCCGAGCTCCCTCCGCTGACAGGTCGCCTGCAGGCACCCCGCTCCGACAGTGTTTTGGGTATCTGAAATTACTTCGCAGAATGTCTAACGAAGCCCCCTCGCCGTAGTGCGGTTTATTGTTAAAAAGGTATTTCTGGGAATTAAATTTCCCATGAGTAAATACAAGTAAGTGGCATTTCCCACCGGGCTGTCTGAGCTGCCTTCCGTCCGAGCGGTTTTTTTGAAGGAATACAACACAAACACGAGAGTGAGGAGCCAATATTAGTTATTTTATAACATAAGCATCAAGCTAAAAAAGACATCCCTGTAAGACTTCGCAGCTTTTTATGATTAAAGCTATTAATAAAAAAATAAAACACCCGGACTTTTAACATGAGAATAAGTGCTCAATGGATTAAACACAAGACCTCGAAGAACCAACATAAACCCATAATTTAATGCTGTTTTTTCCAAAGTAGGAGGGAAAAAAACCAACCCAAGGTCCAGCTGTTGTGTTGGGTGCTTTTTTTTTTTTTTAATATAGCAGCAAAGTTGGTCACCTGCATCACTAATTTTGTCCTATCACTGACCACCACAGAGGAGGAAATTCGAGTATTCTGTGAAAAAAAAACCCAACAAAACAACAAAGGGTTTTTTTTTCTATTTTTATCTTAATTCTGAGATGACTATAAACTCAGAATTCCTTGTTAAGTCCGGCTTTTTGTGAAGCATAACCGGAAGGCACAAAGGAACAGATCTTTCACTCTGACACAGATCCTACTTTTTCCTTAGAAAGCTTCATCAATATTTAACCAGTCACACCTCAAAACGTAAGCGTGGAATGACGTCCCTAAGCTGCACGCAGCAGGAGTGGAGCCCGCCTCTCCTCTGCCTGCAGTGCAATGCTGAGGTACCATTGGGATGAATACAGTCTTTTACCTGTGCAGTGAATCAAAAGGTGAGAACTCCCCAAAAGCCTTTATCTTAAAAACATCTGCTTTTTGATTTATCTAAAAATCCACATCCTGCTTTTTCACCACACCCTTGGCCTCCCCCAAGGAGGGTCACAGGTGGAGGGTTACAGGGGTTACAGGTTCTGTTGCCTTCTTGAGCAGCTGTATTCTCCTCAGGCTGATGGAAAAGCTACTGACATCAGCTGGCTTTGGGTCAAGGTCTGAACTGGCAGATACTTCTGCTTTACTTAACTATCTGACTTTATCCTTTATTTGAAGCCCATCCCCTGTTCCTCCCTTTTAGGAAGGGCACCAGTCCCAATGCTGCACAGGGTAACAGTGTTGCGCGTGTATATATAGAGAACTGCAGTTCTTCAGAACTCTGAACATCCTTACAGAGCAAGAGAAAACAAGTCATGACCAGAAAGTCTCAGACATCATTAAACGTACAACAAAAATACATACCCAATACTTTGGGTTTGAAGGGCACTGCTAACATTGTACTTTTAGCGTTTTTTTCCCCCGTAGTAACAAGCAGGAGTCCATTGACATAAGAGTGTCTGTGATAGGCATGAAAGACCGAGCTACCAAACTGTGTCCCCCGGTGCCCTGAAGAGCTGGAGCGTGACCATTTTCCAGACAAGCCCCCAATGCAGCACTTGAAAACCAGGAGGCAGAGTTCTAGTGGGCTCTGCAGACTGGAGTTTCTGCAGAGCTGGGTAAGCTGCTCTCCTAGACTCTGTCCTAATGAGGTACAAAGAGCTAAGAATAACCCAAGAATCAGGCTATAATTAGAGACAAAAAAACACAGACAAAAGTCACCTGAATTTAGGTAAAACATTCTTGCACATTACCCTCCTCATTTTGGCTACCAAAAGTGCACTTTTCAAATCAGAAATTACTGTGCTGTGCAGGATTAAATAATTTAAACCAAAACTGAGAAAGCGCTTTTTGAAACTAAAGTAAAAAAAAACTTATTGTTTTGTATAGAAGTCCATATGTACCAAGCATCCCTTTCTGCCTAGCGAATCTCCGACTTCTGCGAGCAGACAGCAGCTTCCCACGTGCTTGCTTACAGTTTCAGTTGTTGCTGAAGGTCATGAATTGATCCTGCACTGCTTTGCAGTTTCTCTTGCACCAGTTGATCATCTTCTAGTTTCACCACGTCCATCACTCCATTGGTTCCAAGAATACACGGTAGGCTTAAGAACACTTCACTGTTTATATTGCAGCATCCCTGAAACAACACGTGAAGAACACTGTCACACAGTTACGTGTTTCTGCTCTGTCTGAAGCATGGAACTACACAGAATAACTTGATTATTTTAATCAAGTTATAAGGATATTCCACCACATGGCATGTTTTGTATAGGTCAAATTCCAGTTATTTTAGATCCTGTGCAGTGTGTTACTGTATAGAAACTCTAAAATATTACTGTACTGATAAAAAAAAAAAAATCTTGAACCATGCCACACTTGGAGGAGCTTCCCAATATAGGTATATCAGACCTCTATAACGCAGGCAAAGTTTATACTACAAAATACTGTTTAACCAGTTTCTTAGGTAGAACAATCAAGGACACTTGATAGTACAGTATCATTAGTTCTTTTAGGACTGAACAAAAGAAATTTAAAAATGCAGCCAAAGAGAGCTATCTGGGGTATACTTTTCAAGTATTGATACCACATTCATTTTGTGAGAGACTTCATTAAACTTATATCCCTATAATTCAACTTTACGCTGTAGATTTTGTTTATTTTTAGGATCTGTATGAGAAATTTTACATTCTGTAGTTACTCTGCAGTTTAAGAAACTTGTCACTCCTCTATATCTGCGTTTAGTTCACAAACAGTTACAAACTTTACTTGAAAACATAATGATGACATTAGGTATATGTCTGTACTTGATAGAAAAAGCAGCCTGCTCAACTTCCCTGCACTGGGACATCCAAATCATCCTTCTGAAGCCTGTAAATACGAGTGACGAGCAAGTGTTTCTACATTTTTTTTCCTCATATGACATGACTTAATGCTTTAATGAAGCCTCTTGGGATAAACTTTAAACATGGTTCAGTCTACAATTTTAAGTTAAATATAGCTTCATAATCTTCTCCTCAATATAAATTATCATGAAGTAAAAAAGCAGCTGTTTCAAAGCTGGTCAAATAAAATACTGGCAGAAAATGCATTTTATACTTTCATAAAAGATACTGAACTCTTTTGGCCCCTGGAAAAATCTTCACTCATATTGAGCACTTGGAAACTGTGACACACACATTTCTCTTAATTTGCCAAATCCAGCTATTCCAGGGTAGCTGGTCAGCAACCTTGAACGTGCTTTCCCTCCGGACTCTTGTATTTTTGGGAGAATAATTCACTTTTAAATGGGTTTCAGATTTACATAATAATTGATTTTTGCTCATTTTTGGACTAGAACTGAAAGCTGTTGTTGGAAGAAAGTAATGGAAGTAGTGCTACTTCAGAACAATTACTTCAAGTGAGATGGCTGTGCTGCTAAAACTAATGGTCACATACAGTATAAATACTATAATTACAGTGCCAACCCAAATATATTAATAACACATTTACCTTTGCCAGAGTGGACACAGAATGAACCTTTCTTTTATCTTTCAGTATAGTGTCAGTCAAATCAGCAACTGAGAGCCCAACAGACCAAGATCTCTGACCTTTTCCCTTTAGAACTTCCATAGCTCTACATAAACCAGGAAAAGGAGAAAAACATGATGTTTAGATTTTAGTAATTCCTATTTTAGTTTATAGGTAAAACCCAAACGACAGATTAAGCCTACCATATCAGGTAAAGTGTATTATAGAAACATGATTCTCTGTTTTGGAGAACAACAGAAGGAAATTAAGAATTGCTTTAAAGAATTTCTTTATGTACATTTTACCCACACTAGTAACAATTGTCTTTTCTGTCAAGAGGTATAACTGATATGTGGTTAATTAAAGCAGGTAATCTGATCCAAACTTGTGCTTTGCTTTGAAGTAAACTGCTTCCACACAAGCTCTGAGAAGAGTGTGCCAGAAGGCTTGTCTATTTATTGTTTTTAAACACACAACGGAACTGGCACCTCTAATATTCTAGTGTATATTCTACAGAGCTTGTCTTGCCCATAGATTGTCATGGCACAACATTATTAAGAACTTCAGAAAAACAGTGGGCATATACGCTTATATAAAAGTGAATGACACTCAGACCTATAATTTCCTATAAACTCAGTGTGTGAATACTTTATAGCAAAATTCCTCCTCTTCATAAAGAGATAAAGGACAAAAACCTCTGCAAATATCAAGTGCCCAAACTTGAAGAAAAAAAAGTTTAAGATTATAATGGCGTTACCTGTTAGCCACCTCTTCCCTTGAGTTACGAGCAGCCATTGTTTCCGTTTGATTTGCAACTAAATTACAACTGGTCCACGAAGGTACTAAATAGAGACAACCAACATTTATATGCACATCTGAACAGTGACTAAAATAGGTACCAGATAAGGTGAGAAGAAAAAAAAGAAAAAAATTCAAGCTTTCCAAACTTTCTTTCCCCCGCAACAGCCCAAATGTAGTTAATGACCTTCTAAGGTTCCCTGGACTGCTGAAATAAACTACAGTAGCACCTGGCCAGAGACAGTTGCTTAAAAATGAAGTAATATATAACAACTCTTACATTAGCAGTAACCTACCATATGTCATAATACATTTCATTCATCTTTCAGTACTTTTAACCTATACTGTTATACCAGATAAAAAGCATTTGAGGTTGTATTTTCTATATTTATTTTTTTTCCTGTGACAAATGTTGAATACTTTTACTACCACTTCAGGTCTACAGTCTTGGGCACACACCAAAATTGTATTATTTAGAACCATTATTATGAAAATCTACCATTCTGCTTATGACAACCTTTGTTACTTTTCTCAATTATTCTTTCATTACTCAATTACTTAAGCACTGCCAGGACATTATATCCTCATAGTCATAATGAAGTATCACTTTACCTTTGTCTTCCCCTTGTTCACCAATAACCCAAGCATCTTTTGCCAGCAGCTCTGCTTTCAAAAGGTTTGTCAGTATATACTGAAATCTCTCAGTATCTAGGTTGGCACCTACTCCAATAACTCTACTTTTGGGAAATGCACTCAGCTTCCACGACACGTATGTCATTACTTCAACTAGATGTGAAAGAAAAACACGTTGACAATGAAGGACCACTCAAAATTCAACACAACGAATCAATGAATTCAAACTATGAATCACAATTACGAAAAACTCAGGACCGAGTTGTTTACTTTAGGAAATATATAAGCATGTAAGAACATATCAGTAATTTACTTGAACTTAAAACAGCAAGTCAGGTGGGGAGGAGGTGAAGAAAATTCACAGCTCAAGTAAAGTTTTAAGAGAAGTCCAGTGAAACTTCAGCATGAGTCACCATGCTTCCCTCTACCAAAAATATCACATGCTTCTAAATTTAATTCAGCCAGTGTTTAATTTCTTTTCATTTGTCAAGTACTCTTTTCTCCATCTCCACAGCTCTAAATGATAGAAAGTGTAAGAAGCACTTGAGAAACGGAAAAGGGTTGTGTTTACAGGACAGAGAGGCTCACACTTACTTCTTTCCCTTTTGAATAGTTTTTGCTTTGTCGTAGTTCACAGTATCACTGAACCAACAGATTTAAACTTTCTAGCAAAACATAGCATATTTACTATCAACACTGTATTACATATATTAATAGTCTGAGTCTGATCATATGACATATAACACACATGCATCTATCCTTCCTTGCACAGGAAAAACACATACATAAAACTCACAACTGACAAGACAACAGCCAATGGATGCTAATCTTGGAGATACAGTAAGGCTGAAACTACGTACAGAAACATACAGAAATACATACCTTTTATACAAAACAAAGTACACTATTTTCTTTTATCTTGGTAACAGTAAAGAAAAAACCCTCAAAGACAGTGTCCTGCTCAAAGCTGAAAAGGAAAACATCTTTCAGAGTAGCAAGAATTTTTGACTAAGTGGGTGCATTCGGTAGTAATGTATTTTTAAAACAGGCCAAAGAGAAAGCCAGCTGACGGACAGAGCGTTAGGCGAAGTACCAACATACCTGGATGGGAAGCAACAAGGAGAACAGTGTTCTTACTGTAGTGTGATATCGCTGGGATAATTCCTCTGAACAAATCCACGTTGCTTTGTATAACATCAAGATAAGTCTGAGCACTACCCAGAGAATTAACTGTGAGTACCACAACTTTTGAATCTGCTGAAGCAGAAAAATCTGAAAAATATAAAGAAAATATGTTTTCAAAATGTATGTCATTACATGGAGTTTTGGATGCAAAACAAAGAGCTGTCCTAAAGGCTGAACTGCAGCATCCAGCTTGGTTCGGGTTCTTGCCCTCCTGTCTCCCCCAATGTGGACTTTGGGGCACTTCCAGAGCACTGTAAAACACAGCTCTCCCACAGAACTACTTTCCTGTTTCATAGTTGGCGAACACAGAAGGCAGACTGCAATTTGTCCAATGTTACAGAGCAGAGACCAGAAAACATCTAGATGGGGTTGAAAAAGAAGCTTTTCCAAGTTTTCTTGGCAAGAGAGGAAAAAAAATAAAACATCCATGAAAAGGGTCCTTCATTTCTATTCTAATTTTTAAAGAAGGGGAAAGACTTTTACTCCTTTAGCTGAAACTTCTATAATTTTTGATCTTATAGCTCAATCAAGGACATGTAGACAATCATAAAAAGTGTTCCAAGAGTCTATTTAACAACTCAATTAAAAGACATGTATTCATCAGCCCAAGAAAACGCACAACTACATTTGCTGCAGAAATTTATAAGTCAAAGCTGCCTTGAGTGGGTAACTCTGAATATCCAAGTACCATACAAGTGATCAGCTGGGACACAGAAATAAGGTAATTTGACTGTCACACCTCTTCTGGAACCAACTGAAGCCAAAGCAGAGGCCCAGTGCAGTCACAAATTGGAAGCATGCTAAGGAGGATTAACTAATGCCAGCTTGCCCCAAACCTAGATATAAGCATACTAAAATAACAGCCGACAGTGTTTAAGCATTTTGTAATATTGTAGCACTGCTAACAGCATAGCCAGCAACAACATACAAGCTTTTTGTACCACAGCTAAATGTAAATATGTAATAGGTAACCACAAAGGCACAAACAAGAGATTTGTGGTACAGTTGCACAACCAGGGCTTAGGAAAAAATGCGCTACCAGTAAAACCTGCAAGATAAGCTCAAAGGATGTAGAGCAGGCAATGTCAGGTGCAGAGTAAGTAGATAAGATACCTGGTGGAACCAGAACAAGTCTCTGTCCCCAAAATAAGATATATTACATCCGAAGCACAAGAAAGCCCCTAATTTCATCTTGCAGAGGGTGCAAGGAACATAAAACCACTACAGACAAGCAAGGAAGAATGGGGAAGTTGCTCAATTCAGTTCCAGCTTCCCCTGTGGAAAAGCTTCGAGCCACACCACCTCAACCTCTGCGACTAAGACCATCAGAGACTGTAGCTATCACCACTAATTATGGAGACATGGTATCGACTCTGTTGAATTATACACTGACAGCAAATTGAGGACAAGATTGTTAAGAACTAATTGTTTGAATATGCAGTGATTAAGCACTAACTATTGGCCATGTGCATGTTTAATGAACATCAATCTAGGAAAGTAGTACTTTGAAATTTACCTTTATTTATCAGCCTTTTTAACACTGCTCTCACAGCTACCTCTAATTCCCTAATACAGGTATATTTTTTCCCCCCTTCCTCCCCTCTCTCCACCTGTAACACTGAAGTACTAGCCTGTCTCCTCTCTATTTCTGCATGAGTCCAATTTCAACATTAGCCTCTTACCCTGGAATTACAGATTCACGTACCTCTACCTCCATAAACAGAATGAAAAAAGCCTGAAATAAAAGTGATGCAAGCTTTGCTGAACCTTTCCTTCCCAACTTTGCCCTGAAAAGATGTAAAAAAAGCAAGAAGCTATGAAAAGATAACAACATCTTTTGAAAAAGATGGCCTATATGCCAGAGCCTCTGTATGTCCCCAGGTGTCCTGCTCTCATTTAAACGAGCACAAGCGCACACACAGTACAGTACTCGCTCCCATTCCAGCAACAACATCTAATACCTTTGCTGATCTCCACGTTTGGCAGGGCAAAGATCTCCAAGTCCATGGTCCCTCCTTTTGCTGCACCTTCAGAAAGATCCAAAAGAACCACCTTGTCTGCAGCACCCTGTATGAATAAAAATAATGAAGAACAATAAACCAAGCCAAAATGTGAGGAATAAAACCCAGTATTTCTCCAATTCCAGTGTTTGTTGTAATGGGTATAAAACAAACACAATCACTGACCAAAATTACTGTCAAATCACAAGAAAAAGAATTTAGTTGAGTGAGTTTAATTGGAAAATTACTCATTACAAAACAAACAAATAAAAGTCTCACAAAACCATCTCTGGGAAGTTATAGATGTTGATGTTACTGTTGTCTCTGAACATATAGCCATAATGAAGTACAGACCATCTACAGACAATCCTTTTCCAGGGAACTAGGAGAACCCAATTGTAAAAGGCCACCACTTAGGCAAGAATCCTTTAACTAAGAATTTTCAAAATAAGTTAATTCAATATTCAACCCTTTGTATTTAAAAAACTGACTGAGAAAACAAGGCAGAAACTAACACTTCTGTGTGTCCATAAGTTAACTGAAGAGGCAAATGACATAAGCAGTGACACGGCTACTAAAACTGCTGAGTTATTTCTATGTGTCAGATGCATAGAACTAAGTTGGAAGCCTCTCTCTAAGTCAGGTCTGTTGCTATTTATCATAATTACGTACCTTTGCTGCAATTGCTAGCACACATGCAATGCCAAGATCTCCAGCTCCAACAACAGTAATTTTGTTAAAACATCCTTCATTTTTGCCTCCACCAATTTTACTCTTTGATTTCATGTCAGTCTCTCCTACAATTAAAAGAAAACCACAAACTTAAGTACTGGTCCACACGGTATCAGTACAAGTATTGCTGCTTCATAAAGGGCGATGGTTGTGCCAGAGTTAGTTAATGCAAATTACACAAGTTTCTTCAAAATAGCGGTCAAACCTGACCACAGAAAATTCATCACAACTTGCAAGGTGTAAAACACAAATATGCCTCCCTGGATAGAAATGTTTTTTTACCAAGTAGAAAATATGAAAGTAACAATATCAAGAAGCTAGACACTAAGACCACACAAACAATACTCCCTTTCCCACTGTTGCAGGTGTGAATATATACCACGCTCATAAAATCTGTAAAATAGTTCGTATTTTGAAGACATGCAAAATGGAATTTGATTAAAATACAGTCATCTGGGGTTGTTTAGCCAACGTTACTGGTAACCCAATTCTCATTGTGACTATGACGTAAAGATTATTAAGATTAAGTCAATCATTAAGATTGATTGACTAGAATCACACACATGTGTGTGCTCACAAGCACATATGTGTACACAATTACCAGAAGCAGCAGCAGGAAAGGGTTAGGTTTGAACTGGTTGCACAGATCCCCATCCATGATTTCACTAAAAAAAGGAAGAAGGAAAGACTGACCTAAAGAAAATGCGTCAGGATGAAGAACAACAGGACTGGAGCCATAGTATACCCGGATAAGGAAAACATGAGAACTGTGAAATTCAGGAATTTTGCCCAAGACTTACAATGAATGAGATAAAGTAATGAGGCAAAAATGCCAAATAGCATCTACTCCCAAAGAGCGTAAAAGACAAGTCTGAAATCAGCTTGTCACCCCACTGAACAAGAAGAACCCAAGAAACACGATATAGGCTCAAGAGCCAGCACTCCTTGTCCTCGGTGTTGCACATCAGTGACTGTGGTCAGATGAGTCTCAGGGCTTGCGATGGTAGATGCGAGAGTGAAAGTGAATGAGACTGGAGAGAATGAATGACTGTGATTGGGTAAAATCACCTTTTTTATAATAAAATCACATTTCCCTTCAACAATATGTCACATAGAGTTTTGCTGCAGTAATTTCCAACAAATAAGTAGTACCAAGTCTACAGCATTTTTCAGTAGGCTTAAATACAAACATCCAAAATTAGATGCTTATTCAAATAAAGAGAATCTGAGTTCTCGGTTCAAAAAGAGGCACTTTGATTATACAGAGAAAATACCAAATGCTGTGGACATGCAACCACCAAAAATTCAGATATTAAAACTGTGTAGGCATCTTTGTGGTATCAAGTAATAACAATAAATAAAATCAGATATTGCGTAAGAACATTACAAACAAATATATGAAAACATCCACACCTTCAGTGATCTTTGCAATGTAGGAGAGAAGTTCGGATTGCCTGGCTGCATCAGAAGATGACAGTGAATACAAAGGGAGCTCTTCCTCAAATTTTGCAATCATTTCCTTGATTAATCCAATGACAGTTGATTTAGGCTGAAATACAGCAACACGGAAGATCAAACAGTTGACTATTTCATATAGTGGTATCAGCAGTAAATGCAGTATTTCGTAGAGAACCATAGCTGTACAAAATTTAATCAAATTATAAATACTGACACCCTTAACACTTACATAAACACTTAAGGTAAAGAAAAGCCTGGGAATTTCTTTATCAATAATGAAAAATATATCCCATCCATTTCAGAAAACTAGCATTCATCAAATCATTTGCACTGGCCTGGCAGTCACATTACAGTGCATAAAAGCACTCAGCAACAGCACTGGCTTTTGAATCTCTCTGCTAATGTTTCTGAGTTCTGCTGAAAGAGACACTTCCATTGAACTTTCTTGAGGGATAAGCAATTGGTCTAGTATCATTATTCATTATTCACAACAACAAAGGAAAAAGTATCAAAGGGTCCACGTGAGGCTTATACTGCTTTATAACGGTCAGTCCCTTTTTATTCAGCTTAAAATAATTTTCCGTACAATTACTTACACCTTCCTTTTGCAATTGCTTCAGTCTGAAAACTGCAATTTCAAGAGACATTCTGCTTCTCTTTGCATAATCATTTCATATTTAAGATTAACAAAAAACGCAGAAAACAAAAAGCCCCAAACCCTATGCACTACTCTCCACTGATCTCCCCATGATACCATGTTTTATTCCCAAATACCTTCCTCCCCTGTCAACCACTCCATCTCTTACATGGCTCCAGTTTTGCAGGTAGGGCAAATAAATCCTGCCATGAGCATCCACATGCTTTCCCACTGAAATGCCCATGTTCACAGTCGGCTTCAAGAAGCAAATGGGCGGAGCAAAGGGATGAGAATCCAGAATCCACAGATGAATAGGTATGTTATAGGAATTACCTGTTCAACACAAAACGAAAGCTATTGCTAACTTCTGCATTGAGAAGAGGCACTGAAAACCAGGCATGTGTGCCTGTGATTCACACTTCATCATAACAAAGAAACAAAGCCTGACAGATCACTTTCTAGATTCACACTGGGAAGTATTTACATTACTTAGGCTACTTAATAAAAGGAGACTTATCTGGATCAACTTGAAGTGCTACTGATTGTGTCTGTCTTAATATAAAGCTTTGTTGTTGTTTTGTTTCCCAGGGTATTCTATCAGCCAACGTGTCCCCTTTTCCAGGCAAAGAAATCTCTTTCAGCTACCCATTTCACACTTATTTCAGGACTCAATAACTGATGCAAAGAGGCACCCATTAAGAGCTTTACCTCACACTTCGAAGGCCTTGAGTTAAAAATGAAAAACTACTTACTAGTTATTCTTGGACACTGCCTATACAAGCATAGGGTTTGTAGAGTTCATGCAACCTCCATTGGAACCAAAGAGTTTGCCTACACCGTCTCAAACTACATGATTTTTTTAAATAGTTAACTGACTTATCTAATACCACCTAATTTCAGCATCTATGAGTGCACAAAGACATTTGTTTATGTAGAAGCAGCTTCTGTCAATTCATGCAAAATCCTTTATAGCCACCATTAAAGAAGCTGCATAGTATATTGGCAGTACCCAACATATTTTACAATTAAATGCATAACTGGTAAGGAAATTATATTTGATTTATCTTACCATATTTCACTGGAACAGTACCGCTAAAATTCAGGAGGTCCTTCTGGGATCCATCTTTGAAGGCTGAAATTGAAAATGAGATTTAAAAAAATAGTAATAAATCCTTTCAAATCTGGCATGGCAATCCCATCCACAACTACCAATATACAAAGTTCCTGAAAGAACCAAGGCTAAAATGTTACTAAGGTACCCTCTCCCCCTTTGAGAGAATTCATTAATGGAATCTTAATGAAAATTGTATTGGTAGAACTAAGCACATCATTAGTCTGAAAATCCCTTGTCCTGGGTAATTCTGGTGTTGTAGGAACTTTCAGTCAGGCTGAGGGATTCTGAAAGCTAAAGACATCAAAATGTTTTCAACAGTCAAGAGATATGGGAAAAATGCTGTTACACATAAAGACTTTAAAAGAACAATCTTCTATAATTACTGCCAAGTTAAAATAAAACAAAATCTAATTAGTCGCTCAGGATTTATATGTATGCATTCTTTGAAGAGCTTTCAAAAATAGTCACATGGCATGAGAAATTTTACTGCTAGTCAAAATAAAGACAGGAACACAACTGAAAGATATTGACACTATTTAGACTCTATTATACACAACCTGAATCTATGGAAAGTAAGAATCACAATTAGTTCAAAGTAGCTGTATCAGTTCTTACTGTATGTGTTCATGGAGAACGTGAAGTTTGGGTAGGTCTTGTTAACATTCTTTAGTTCTTCTATAGTCAGGTCTCTGAACTTATACTGAAAGAGGGGAGAACAAAAAAATAGATCAGAAAAAAATGTTTTATTTCACAGGCTGCTTCTTTCATTACCAGATATGGAGAAAAGGAACCAAGAGAAAGTAGAAACACAAGAAGGGGAAGGTAATAATTAATTGTAGTATTATAAATAGTTTTGGTGTGAAATAAATTCTCAAAAAGTTTGATATAAAAACGAAGCTTTAAAAGATATCACAGGTCTGCTGCTGCTACATTAGACCTCAAATTCTGAACATCACTCCTTATATACTGTTCCTTCCCCTTTACAGCTGTGTGAGCGGAGACTTAATAAAATTTAGCCTCCTCTGCACACCATAATTAAAAACAGTATAAAAATATAAGCCTCTTTGTAATAAGACGACTTCTTTTTTTCTGACAGTTACTACTAAAAACTCAGATGCACCTGTACACATTTTAGAAAGGTTTCCTAAGATGTCAATTTCCACAAACACATTAAATACGTAATTAGCCTTTGGGATTTTTTTTCCATGTTTAAGCTGTCCTTGAGAGCTGAGAAATTTCAAACAAAATAATGCATCCTTCTTTCCCGGCTGCAGAAAACCTGCCCACAGATTAACAGAGGTACCGATGCTTGAAATGCGACCTGAAAGTAATTATCAGCAAGAACAAATAACTGCTACTTCATTTAGACTGTCCCCAGCCAGTCTTGATACCTGAACTTCCAAGAAATTTGCATCCTCCCACATGTAAAAGTTAGGAAGAATGTTTTCCATTTCCTAGATTGGAACATCTGCTTCTCATTTGAGAAATTCTGGAGTTGTCCTGGAACCCTTGCCTAAGCAAACACAACTGCAGCCTGACAATGGCTTAAAGAGCTGCTCACTGTACTGAGATACTTGGCACAGAGCAGTAGCTGGGACCTACGATCTCTTCAGTACAGCACCCACCAGAAATCGCAGCAATACTACAGCTATGTGGATGGTTTGACTATTTTCCACTTGGTACAAGAAATCACAAAGCTGCTGAAAAGAAACACCCTTTAGTCAGCTTCTCCACAGTCAATCTTACAGGATACTGTGAAT